ATTATTTTGAAATTGTTCCATGTTTAATTGGTAGCATATTGGAATACTTAAGCATTCAAAAAGAAAAATTACGATCTTTGCTTCAAATTACGAAAACTTTTAATATAAAAAAAGTTCTCTTCTAAAATTTTTTGATGAAAAGGCACAGCGGCAATGATGTTTTTTGCCATTAACAGATAGTTACAGGTGAACAGGCCTTGTCAATCATAACAATAATTTGTCAAACTGTGACTTACTTTGAATTTCCTGTCACGAATTTACGAATATGCGATTAGTTCAGGGGAAATGCTACAGTAACATAGCAGAAGCTGAAAGATCTCACGCCAACAAAGGGCGAGGAGAGCGGTTCCAGGCACAGAGGAACAAGTATTGGAGATAATCGAATCAGGGCCTTTCAGGGGCACTAAGAGCACAATAACTGACACTTTCCCAAGCACTAAATAAATACCGAGGAAGGGCTACGTTCCTACCACGTTTGTACGATACACACAGCACAAGGAGATACAAATTCAGCAGGAGTTAATTAACTGAATACGAGCAGCTGCTTGATAAGAGTGGATATTAAGGAGATTACACAGGCACTAGCTTGTTTGGAGTTAACCATTCAAATGTTTGGCGTTGTATGGTTTATTTTTAAACAACAATATTCGAGGTTATGAGAACAGGTTGACATTTCGTCAACAAATCTTGTTGATTTTACCGTTTATCTTTGACTGTCTTATTGTCAGTCTGTATAATTCCATGGTTACCGGAGTTTTAAATAATTACGAGGCCACAGGTATTTGCGCAATGTTAATTAGGCAGATTACCTTGAAAAACATTGCTGCCGTATTTCTGATATAATTTTTTGCAAATTTCTCAGTTTTTAATAACAATTAATTTCTTTTACTATTTTTTATGTCCTCCTATAAAGCGCCAGACAACACCTCCAGAGGACTGACGCCAATTTTGAATCACCCTGTATTAATTATTTGAAAAAATAGTCCATTTTTTATTTCGAGTTTTTAATATTCTTAGTGTTCCTGAAAAACTGGAGGAATGTATGGTAGCAAACCCATAATTTCTTCATGTCTTTCTTCCGTTAATGGCCTACTGGTGGTCTACAATAGAAGTAGCTTAAAATATCCGGAATGTTTTGGTCTTCCTCTTTTAGGTGAAAGACCCAAATCATGAAATTTTATATAATATTTTATAAGGTTAATTTTTCAAGAATCTTTCCATTGTTTCAGCCAACAGACAGATTATCCCGCAATATTTTTTGCTATATTTGTTGTTGACTCGTCTAGTGATTTCGTTGAAATAAAATCCGGCTGCGACATTCGTTTAATCGAAAATGTATTTCTTCTTCTACACTTTTCTATTAATTCATAATAATGCTCAGGGTTGTATAAAAACGAGTCAAAGAGGGCCACACGCCATTCTCAAGTTATGTTTATATTATTTCTTTAATTTTTTGACTTTGACCACTTTCATCATTAACCCTAAATGAATTCCATATAATGTTGAAATTAGAACCACCATCTAATGGTTCGTTTTTGAGAATGTCGAAAAAATTACATTGAATAAATTTAGTTTCAAATAATGTGGTGTGCAATAACTAATAAACTCATTTTTTTTTTAATTTTGACTTAGACTATTTTCATAATTATGGGCACTAAAGGTTGAATATGGATCTCTCACAACGAGCCTCAACTAAAACTGAGCACGCTATGAAAAGTTTCCAACTTTCTCGTTGCAGTCATCAACTGTGTGTGGGAAGTCTTAAGAATTCTTTTTAGCACAAATATTGGAATTTTGAAAATTAATGCTAATATCATAAGATTTTTAATGCTGTGCTAGGGCTGATTGCGATTGTCCCGGCTGTCTGTAGTGCTAAACACTGATTCGTGTCATGTTACTCTTCCACGAAAATTAGTCACGAGTCTGGATAAGTAGCTCATTTAAATTATGAATTCTCGGTCGGTGCTTGTAGCCCTATTCTTTGGAGATACCGAATAAATGCTCAAATGAAATTCGTTCTCCAAGATTTTAATACAAATTTATTTAAGTCTAGCATCTTTCAGATTAATTTGTGTAGGTAGGCAGTTTGGCACACAAATTATAATAAATCTTGCAATTCCTTTGAATTAATTAGTTATTGATTGTGATTTAAGCTTGTGAATTGGTATTATTCGTTTCTTAAACAAAACGAAAGTGCTGAAATACTTTACATTTAAAATATTATAGTAAGTACGTTTATTCAACCCAACCATTATGTCACCTAATTGCCAGTTAAGTTAAATAAATATACATATAAGTATTTACTGTAATAGCAAAAGCAGGATACGTTTCTTATACTGAACTAAGACATTTTATATGAAACCAATTGCCATTGTAATCAATAACAAATTGATGCGCAAAGTTCCCGTACATTAGGTTGACTTAAAGCGAAACATATTCATCAATCCATGGGAAATTTGGCAGTTTCCCAAAGCAAAAACCGTTTTCAAAGTACAACCTTTCCATTATTGTGTTAATTATCCCGTGTCTCAAATATTAAGCGTCTAATGCTGTCGGTTCATAAAAAGCATTAAATAAAAAATGACTTTACATACATACATATTCTTCTGAAGCTTAGCCTCTAAATATCTGATGTAAATATATAGTCTATTACTCTGTATGTTAGGGAAAGTTACTTTCTTTAGCTAATCATGTCTAGCATAATAGTAATTTGCCCTGCAACCACCTACGCCTTATGAAAGAACAGAAGAGCTCTAGCCGCTGTCAATAATATGAAATGGAAAATTTTCTAGTTTGTTTCCTGTATATCCATTAGGTTCTATTGAGCTAGAGAATTACAGCTGAGAATCTTACAAAAGTTGATTAATATCACCAATATCACATATTAACACAAAACCTACTTGCGCCTTGGGGCCCATTTTGCCTTATAATTATAATTTTTATACCAGTGTTGATGTGTTATACATTTTATTCCGTTTAATTGCTATGTCTACCTTAAATTCTTATAACTCTTTTAAATCAATATTTTAATGCGGATCTCTGTAAAGGACATTAATGAGATTCCAACACACATCTTATTCAATATGTTAATTTCTACACATCATTGCCTCAAACGATTTGACGTCCAACTCATTCCTAAGAAGTTTCTCAACATTTCAAGATTGTCACTAGAATAATCTCAGAGTATTTGCTGTTCTTCATAGCTCAATGTTTAAACTGTATACCACGTTGCCATTGTAAATGTGACCCTAAAATTCAATTGCACTACCGACCAACATGTTTCGTAAATTGCTTCCAGATCAGGAAAGAGGAGAATGGAGTCCATGGAGTCAATGGAGTCCGTGCTCCAGTACCTGTGTGGGAGGGATTCGTAACAGGTACAGACTTTGCGATTCACCTCCACCGAGATACGGAGCCAAATTTTGCGAGGTAAGACAATTTTAGCCAATAAAAATGTATTTGTCATGGCCATAATTTACCAACACTGTACCGATTCGAGTGTTTTCGGAATATCACCCTTTACCTCAATCAATAGAACTTGCCTATTGCCTTAGCAACCGAACAGTACATATTTGAAGTGACGGTTAAACAAGGGCAGTTCACAATTTTTCCAAAAAGTTATGGCAAAAGGCAAGAAAACCAAAGGCAAAAAGAAAAAAGTAGTCGAAGACGATCCAAACGCTCTGACAGAAGTGGACAAGACCTTTTATGAGCTGACCATAGCGGATTTGAATAGAAAACTAGCTAGATTGAGATCATTGACACAAGAATTAGAGGAGAAAAACGAGGAATTGGAGCAACAAGGCCAGAAAAATGATGAGGACAAATCGGATATAATCACGTATCTCAAACGAATGATTCAAGAGAAAACGAACGAAATCAACGAGTTGGAAGAGAGAATCGTCGGTCTGCAGGAAACCCGGCAAACTGAAACAGAGCAATTTGAAACGAAAATCGTCGAACTGGAACAGGAGTATAAGCAAATGCATGAACAATTGACATCGGAAAATAAATTATTAGATGGTATGTACAGCAACATTTTCTATTTTATAAAATTTGTTGTTTTGTTTTCGTTCTATTTTCAATTCTAAATAGAAAATCATTATTTTTTGATAAATTATTAAAAGCTGTAATGATAAATAATACATACATCGGTACATACATAGATAAGAAGAGAGATTTTCAAAATTGTCGGTATTTAAAAAAGTGCTTCACATCTGCCACAATGGTTAGAAAGTTTTTTTGAGCTACGTTCAACGTAACAATATTGCAAATTAGTTATTATATTAAGTTATTACAAAATTTGTTGATGATGTGTTGAAATTGACACTTATTTAATGAATTCCATAAAAAATGTACCAACTTTTTGAAATTTTTAAATAAAATAATTTATAATTTGAAAACGGTTGATTTCACAGCTTAAAGTGTAATGTTTATGAAGAATGCGATTAAAACTCGACCAGTAGAATATTTTAACAAAATAACTCAGAACGGTCCAACGTCCAAAACCGGTCAAATATTTACTGCGGTCAAGAAAATTTATTTGATATTATTAAAAATTGCAGATCATTCACGTGAAAACTTGCTTAAATTCTGGAATTACTGACTTTTTACGTTTATCTTTTTTGGAGCTGCACAGGGTGATTTACGGTCGATGGCGTTTTAGACGATTAACCCGGACCGAGAAGCATGATCTTTCTGAAAATGTGTACTAAGAATGAATCGGGTTTGCTCTCTAGAAATGCGACATTGCTGTTTATATCGAAAAGTACCCACAACTTCTATATTTTGAATGAGGCACCCTGTACAATATGAGCATTTAGATTGGCTCTACAGATCTGATTATTTCTGTTTAACGCTGCCTATACTGTCTTAGACCCATGTAAACCGAATTATGAAAAGAGAAATTGTAAATAATATACATATTTGTTTTCATCAAAATATTGCCCTCAGAAATCTTGGATTACAACTCGATTTCGATGCTTAATAATTTCAATTAGGAACGCTTTTCTTTAAGCTTCACTTCAGCATACTGTTCTCATTCAGGCAAAAGCTTTAAACCAGCTTTCAGCTTGACAATCAGAGAAGTTGCAGATAAATATTTTGCTCGTTTTTTAATACAGTGATTTAGTAATTATTGAAATGAAGAACCTCGTCAACTTAGCTTTGCTTTCGTAATAATCGAATTTTGCAATCACGACATTAATTTTATAGGAAATAGAAAGTCTTTCGCTAACATGAACTGATATACAGTGTGTTCTGTGAAGGTGAATCTGTATATGCGATAATTTAGAGTGCTTGTTTAAAATATCCGGGTTGCTGGAACTTTTCGAAATAAGCGGCAACGTCGCATTACTGACAAAATTATGAGTAATAAAGAACAAATATTTATATGTTAGGTTTCACGTTTGACGAATAACTAAGTGCTATCCCAAGATCTTTCAGTACTTTTGAATTTAAACTTAATTTATGTATGTATCAGACTTTGAAGGCTTTCACGGCCGGTCAAATCACAATTAGAAGTGTTTTTCGGGCTTTGAAGCCGTGGTCCATGGGAATTTCTTCCTGACGTTTCGTCCACAACTGCGGTGGACATTATCAAAAGCGATGACGCAGTGGACGAAGTGATCTCGTTGACGATTGTTTTGGCGCACACGCTGTTTGCCACAAAACGCGTTTTCAATCTGGATTAAGCACCTCTTCTTTCCTATTGAAATTGTTGTCATGATCAAAGATCTCAATGGCCTCTCTGGTTAGTCTCGGGTAATACCGTTGAAACTTTTTGAGCGGTTTTAAAAAGTTCGAAAATTTTGGTATTTAAATCAATAAATGAATCTGTTTTATAAATGAATCTGTAAATTATTTGAACCTAATTAAAATGTCACCATTTTGCGATTATTTATACCTTATCTCCTGTCATTCAATGTACCATATGCAATAAATAAAAAATAAATTAATGTATAACACTACTACTCATTAACTCTTCAATTTAATACTAATTTACGATGGACAGTATATGCTCAATAATGATATTATGGTTAGCACTAATTTTCAACAACGTTTATAAATGTTTGATTATGAAAATCGACCACCGATTGACTATTTTTAAAAATTGATTAATCTAACTATCAAAATTTAAATCCTCTCGTTTTTCTACCCCAATTTAAAAAAATGGTCAAAATCGGTGCAGTAGGAGCCGAGATATAAACAAATAAAAATAGAAAAAGCCCAAGTTTTCAAACTTTTGAAACCGCTCAAAAAGAGCCGAGATATAAACAAATAAAAATAGAAAAAGCCCAAGTTTTCAAACTTTTGAAACCGCTCAAAAAGTTCTTAACAACTGAAAAAAGGTTAAAATAGCAATTGTATACCTATGATAGTTTGAGCGTCCAGGAAGGCGTAAAAGCGCGGGCACCAAAAAGTTAGTTAGTCGATATTCATAACTTTCAGCTTGGCACAAAATTAAAAACAGGATCTTGATCTGATCTTAATCGACCTTGCCGCCCTCTTTTCTATTGCAGCCAAGTACGTTGCTCTAAATGTATGGCTTATTGGCTTGTTTTTCATCGTTAAATAAATAATTTAAAATTACCTTGTTTTTTACTTACTTTTTTGTACTTTCGAGTGTTTTAAAGTGTACATTTCATATTTATATATATCCGAGCAACTCGGTCTTATACAAAATTTCATAGCGAACCAATTTAGAAGTGCTTATCCATTTTTCCTCCAGAATGCATACTTACTATTTTTTCTCACTTCTTTGTTGTTTGTGCAAATAGCACACCTTTTCAAGCTAGCGCACCAGGATAATTTCAATAGGTACACCATTGTCCAGCTATTCCAATAGTTATCTGAGATACCTACGTCCGTTTTTTGAAAGCGAAATTTGAAAAAAATTGTCGTAATTCTCCTGTAGTAGTGAAAAATAATTCTTATAATTTCAAAGCTTTATATGACCAGGAAGAATATAAAATCCAGCTAGTTACCCCTAATTTATGTTAATTTAAAGTCCAGAATTATGTATGCTCAACACTGCAAGAAAATCAAAATTGAAAAGTTCACTTCAAAAAGCTCATTTTGTTTTGATGTGTCGTTCTATAAAAAAACATGACTACATTTTCGATCCTGATACCTCGCGCTTTCCTGAAAAAGCGTTACTAAATAGTACGCCATAAAAATATTCACCCATTATTTAAATCCAAGTTTAAGTCATTTACATTAATTAAAATTGCCATTGTTAAAATTTAAATATTCATCGGTGAAAGACTAATTTTGAAAGAAAGTGGCTTGCGAGCTGATTTTAGAGCTTCGTAACGTTTTATTTTTGGAGTTGACAACAAATCTGCTAAATCTAAATTTTTTCTTTCAAATCTAATCTATTATTTTATTACACAGACATTTTAATTTGACTATTGGTTATTTATGATTTTAAAGATCAAAGTTTGACGCTTACCTGCACTTTTCATTTCTTAATTTACTTTAATTGAATTTACATAACAATCAAAATATTTTGTCCGCACAATATTCCATATTATGATGATTTACCCGAAAATTACTAAATCCAGCCTAACATGCGATTAGCGACTACCTTGAGACTGATTTGAAAGAATTATATGAAAAATACAAATAACTCAACAAAAAGTTTTAAAACATGAATCTCTTTCGAATACGTGAAACTTTGTATGCTGACGAAGTTGAAATTCGATTTTCAACTGTTACTATCTTCTAGAAATTTTCGAAAAAAACGTTTCTATATTTTTCTCGTACCCTCTAAGTGAGATCCTATAGCGCCTTAAACGGAATGACCCTGTTTTTTTTTTTGACAAATTTTGAATCACCCTTTATAAAATAACCATAATATAAAGTGAAAAGTTGTAACATAAAGTTAAATAAAATAAATCAACTCTTGTTTTATATTTTAGGCAAATTAAACTCTCTAGAAGAGTTCAGATCACAACGTGATGAATTAATGAAGAAATTCGAAGACCAAGAAAAGAAAATGGAAGTGCAAGAAAAGAGGCACAACAGAGAAATGTACGAAATAGAACGAAAATTTATCATCAGCAAAGACAAGCTTAAAAAGGATATGGAAGCTAGACTTATGCAGTTGTCGACGGAGTTTCACGATGCTTCAGAACTTCGGATAGCGGCCACAACTCATAGAGTCATCCGGGAAAATATAGCGGTTAACAATGAATTCGACAACATGCTTCAAATGCATCAGAAGTTATTTAGGGATTACAGTAATCTGAAGAATAAAAGCGAGACTCTCAGACAAGAAGCGGTCCTTCATGATGTCGAAAAAAAGAAAGCTCTTTCAAAAGTTTTAGTACAAAAAACTTTAATTGAAAAAATTACCGAAAAAAATGGCTATCTTCGACAAGATTTAGCGAGATACAAACGCTACGAGACCGAAATCAGAGAAGCGAGAAAAATTACAAATACCGAGCAACAAAACATCACCAATTTGCAGCATAAGGTGCGCATTTTGGAGCAAAATGTGCATAAAATGAAATGCGATAATTGCGCACTGGAAACGGATGTGCTTTACCTGAAGGCAGAAAACGAGAGACTTGACGATATTCTGATGGAAGGAGTCAGTTGCATTAAGGAAGCATTAACTATTAAATCAGAAAGCGACTCTTCCATCAAATCATCAAAAAGGGAAAATCTCCTAATTACTCTTTTCTCATTACTCAGCAAAGGCCACGAGCGGAGAGTAAAAAAACCCTCATTGGAAACTGTAACATCAGCTGAAGGCACTTACGCTCTAGGTGATTTAGGATTTGTTCCCAAACCAACCGATCCAAGACCAATTGCTAAAACTAGAAGGGATATTACTTCACAAACAGGTGAAAGTTTTGAGGAGTTCCTCAATTTCGGGGACGTCTCCCAATACTACGTGAAGAAGACTTACGCAGATTGTGATGATAGTGAGTTAGAATTTCCTTTAGAAGTAAAAGTACACATGGAGGTTGCAGAGGAAATATCAGATGAAAAGAAAGAAAGTGTGCTGTTCTTTGATGAGAACGAAGCTCCGGAAGAAGATGAGGAGGAGGAAAGTGGGGAATATGATCCGTTTGCTGAGGTTAAATCTGAAAATTCAAATGCATCTGCGGAAATAGATACAATCGTACAGAAAAGTGGAGATGCGATAGCAGATCAAGATAATTACGATAAAGCCAGTGAAAGCTTAGCGCAGACTAAATCTGAAAATGAAATAGAAGAACCGTCTGCATCAAAATCGCAAGATCCTGAAGATCGCAATGATGAGCATCACGAGGAGCCCCCGCTAGAAAGCTAAAGGAACGAAATAATGACTGTACCCACTCGATGAATCAATAAAACCAATCTGCAGACATATTAATTGTTCTTTTTGTTTTATTAATACCTATTTACAATTTACTTTTTAATCAAATCAATCAAACTTCCATGGAAAACAACATTTCATATCATATATTTTAGGGGCCAGCCGTTGAAACGGAAAAATGTGGAGCTGGATTAGGAGCTAGCTGGGAATGCATATACAGCGGTGCCATTTCAGGAGGAAACATGATTTCGGCTGAGATACCGGAAATTCAAGCGGAAGTCGGCCCATTTTGCCGTTGTGGTTGTGTTGTACATTTGGGAAACGCCAAGCCAAAACGATTACTTGCAACGTCTAGTCAAAGTTGTCCTGGAAGGACATTTTGGCTAATACAAGTGAGGCATATTGATTTCCTGGTTGGAAGTAACTCAAAAATGTTATTCGCTATGGCTTGTGTATCTCCGGCACGTGGGCTTGGTATTATTCTGTTACCTTTAGTAACAATATTTTGAAAATATATTCAAGAGTATTTTTATCCCCGATGAGGCGGTGACAGAAGTTTTTCACAAAACTCAAACTGATTCACAAGCATTTGGTTTTCTTGTTGAATCATTCCCTTCCAAATCCATAAATAAATAAATCTTGCCAATAATATATAGAAGATATCTCTAAGAATTCAGATTTATTTGTTTTTGTGGTCAACACTTCAATTTCTTTATGCATTCTTCTTAAAACTTGCCGCTCTACAATCATGTCGACTATACTCAAGGGCAGATTCAGGGGGGGGGGGGCTGGGTTTATAACGACTATCGATAATTTTTCTACTTTCATAGACAACAAAAGACTGAATTTTTACTACTTGACCCCCCCCCTGACTCGAAAGCTGGATCCGCTGGAACATTATTCCGTCTGTTCAAACAATGTACAATTGTACAATTTGTACAGAGTCGTTGGGCTTGTCACCGTCTCAATGGGAAATATTTTCATTTACCAATGCGCTCTTTTTCAGTGCCAAAACTGACGAATCCGGCATTAGCAGGTACTTGACCATACTGAAATGTGTAGCGAGCAATTGTTTTGTAGGCATGGCAAAGCTATGCTATAGCCATAATTTAGAATCAAAGAGGGGGTTGGGTTGAGCTCAAGAAAGGGGACATTCCAATCCCTGAGGAAACAATGCATTTCGGTCGGCATATGGTCGACTTCCTACACTTGGTCTTCATTGTTTCAACTACCAGTACGAACCAAGTTTGATGATGCGAAACCCAACACAGCCATTTGGGAAAACCCAAGTTGACCCTCACCCTGTGCCTTTGATTCCACCCCCTGTGGGGTGCCCAGGTCGACAGACCAATGGGCAGAGTATCACACACAAACTGAAGACAAACTCGAACGGTCGTAGATAAGTAGCAATCAGAAGTTGTAAACTTAGGCCCGAATTCAAGAACGCCACTCATACGCTACTCATCTCAAATCCAACTCTCACTCATCTGCCACTCACGTTAGGGTGAGATGAGTGGCCCCTAACTAAAGCCAACTTTCGGTATTCAAAAACGACACTAATAAGTCACTCACTTGAGTGACAACTGGTTCAAAGAAAACAGTTTTAGTATGTTATGTTCTCATAAGTGAATAACTTCATTCCGGTTCCATAACCTCAGTTCAGCTTTTATTATCATTTGTTTTGTTATGGGTGTTTGAAGAAAAAATTACGTTTATAATACATGTTTAGTAATTATGTATAACATGAGTGCTAAGCGCAGTTTCATGTCGAGTTCTGAGAAACAATTTCAGAATGGCAGAATGTTCGTATATCAATTGCCAAAGAAATTCTACAACAGGAGGGAGTGAAAGCAAAAAGACTATAGATAAATAAACAAATTTAGAAAAAGTTGGGGGTTTAATACAATATGAAATCAATTTTAATCCGTTGATCTGCTAAAATGTCGTGAATGAAAGCAGCGCTGATTGCCATACTTGGCGCTTCGGACTGCGGAAACCTTTCAGTTTACTCCATAGTTATACTTTCATCGATTTTCTGGCTGGTGTCAATGGCAATATTAAGAACCACCGCTGTAGCAGCATCAATTCTTCGAGCGCCTTGAATAACATTCCTTGTTAAAATATATGCGTTATTATATCACTGCTCGGTTCCTATTTTTGGATCTATATTTACAGTGTCAGGTTTTTTCGATGACTAGTACAGGGGTCTTCCAACCCACAGCAGTTCCGAAGAAGAATGATAAATGGAAAAAGAATTATAGCTTTGAATGTTGCCCTCGAAACCAATTTTGTTTTTCTAAAATTTGACAGCTGTTAAGAAATATTCAAAAAAATTGATTTATGGTAGATTTAGCATGCATGCCCAGACGAATGGTAGCTAGAGGAGGATCTAGACGTTATTAAATTCAAATTATTGCCATGTAACTTCACTTTAAATGTTTTTTGAAGCATTTTATTGATAGGTTTTCATTGCACCTGACGTTTTTTTTTTGTTTGTTAACTATTATTTTTATTAAATATTCAACTATTACATTTTGCCAAACATTAGTAGAAAACATTTTATTACAATATCACGTAGGTTGTATGATTTCAAACTTAAAAAAAATAAAGGAAATATTTGAAATTTCTTATAATCTGCTTTTGATGCGTTAATTTTGTCCATCATATCGTTAGGTTAGGAAAAATTATGCGCATGGGAGGCATCATGTTGAAACCATTGCACTTTACGCTGTGTTTCTAAATCTAAGTCGTCCACATAAAATCCAGATTATTCTGAAAGAATTGAAAATAGCGACTCCCATTTAAGGTGCTTACAAAAAGAAATGGACAACAAAGTTCTTAACCTACCATTCCGCACCAAACGTTAAATCCAAATTTTATTTATGGTCTTCTTTGCTCATGGTGGTAGGGATTTGTCTGATATCAAAGATGTCCATTGTGTCGATTAAACATTGGAATGTTAGACTTATTCCAATTCTAGAAAATGGCCATTTGTATTGAAACAATAATTTTAATTTCGCACCTGTCTAAATGATTATTGAGCCTTGTTTGTCTCTCATGTTATTCTTTCACTGCTCGCATTTCCTTCCTACGTGTGTTCTGTATTTGTCTGGTCTGACTTGAATTTTTGTTTTTCCACTTTGTTCTTGTGTCTATGAGGATCAAGATTTATGTTGCCTTTCATTTTTGCGTTCATTTTCCTTTATCGCTTCCGACTTTTTCTACTTAGGTTGTCCCTTTGTTTTTTTAACGATGGCCTAATTTTCTAAAGTTTATAAGTTGCGAGTTATAGCATCCCTAGGTTATAACTGGAGTCACATTAAATCGGACATCTGGCTGATTCAACTTTGGAATGTTTATGCAATTGTTGCTGTTTTGATCTTGTCTTGACGAATTTGGTTGGATGTCATAAGCAACATCTGCACCTGAGTTTGTTTTCCCTACATTAATGCTGTTTCTGGCTTTTACATGAAGTACAATATAGTCCACAATAGGACAGAAATGACTGCAGTAACTAACACACTATTAAGTGCTAACACAGAAAATGCCGTATAGTGTTTGTCTTGATTCTCTGAACATTCTCATAACATCTCTAGAAACAGTGCTGCTAGTTGGTGTGTGTAAAAAGTTCTTAGGAAAACCGTTTCAGGCACGGACTAGAAAAAATCACGCACACTTGCCACGCGATCAATGCCGCATCGGCATTGAGAAACCAAGCTCTAAATGTGCTGACGAAAAGATAGACAAAACACAAACTGTAGCGAATTTGACGATTCTTTCGAATTCGAAAGTTTTTATTTCGTGATTTCAATTCAGGCTGATGATGACTGTGTGATCAAATTCAGAGTAGAGCAATTCAATCTGCCCTGCGGTAACCAGTGGCTCAAGATCAGGGATGGCAGTTCACTATCGTCAGCACTGCTTTCAGATTTATCAGGACAGCCTGGGACCGTTCCGTCTCAGGTGAACTCCACAGGACCTAACTTACTGTTGGAATTTTACTCAGACGACATCACTTTGGGAAGCCAAGTTTGTGATGGTGGCTTTCTGGCCGAAGCAAGTCAAATTAGTAAGTATTTTACGTGATGAACGCAAATATTATACCGTTCCAAAACTGGGAATTCTTGTTAGAAGCCCGGGTTAATTTTGCAGAGTAAGGCGTTAGTGTACTAGTTGTGTACATGTTGTGTACATGTTAGTGTGTTTATTAGATTTTTTAACAATCCAATTGTTGAAGAATTTAAAATTTTATTCAATTTTTAGGATTGATTAAACTAAATATTAGTGCAGTACAGGTCGCCCACAGCGTCAGTTCCGTAATCCCGTTGGCCGTTTTAAAGCTGACCTCCGTACATATTGCGGCAATTTTTTTTCTTAGTGGCTTGATCATTGCCACCACCATTTTGGGGATACAGTACGTTTTTCGATACAGAAAATACCAGGTAGCACAGCTGGAGGATCAGGACTCACTTTCAGGTAACGTCAGTCGTTAGTTATCCAAAACTAAATTGATAATAAGATAGATCTTCAATTGTATTCGTAGCCTCAAGTACGAATCTTCAAATGTCGGCCAGAACTCAGTCGAATGCGACACTTTTGTCGGAAGTTATTTCGTTGACAAGAATGCGCCCTCTCAATATGAAAAGTCGACAGAACAAGCATACAAGACTTCGAGAGTCGGTGGATTGCGACAGAGACATTGACGAGGAAGTTGCTTTAGCGTAAGTACCTACATGTATAAACGGAATCCTAATCAATATTTAGAATATAACTAAATTAATTAACGTTTTTAATTCTACTTGCAAATTATGTTTTATTGCTGAGACTAAAATAAAGATAGCAGCTTTTTTATTAGCAATTCGAATAGGATAGAAATTGATCCAGCTTGAACATAGATCAATATGTATTTATTTGTTATATTTTTTTTAAATTAAGACTTGTCAGATTTTCGCGTTTCTAGTGTGTGCAAGTTTCAGGATTGTTATTTTCAGGCTAAACCCAGCTGACGTGAGCTAATAGTCTCGAAACCGATCCGAGGGGTGCCTGAGATTAGCACATCTCGAAATCTGCACTTGCTTACATCATAAGCTAATGCGGAAAACTTTTATTGTTCAAATAAGTCTAATTAATTAACCATTAATATATAATAATTTTTTAATTAAGCTTTGGTGTTGCGGTAAATCGGTTCCAATCAGGTGCTAATTATACAGGGTTATGTAGATAATATATACAGGTGATGTGGTATAACGTAATTTTTAGAGGTATTGCCTAAGGCTATTTTGGCAGGAAGTAGACCAAATATATCAAAAATCGTTCTGATCAAAAATCCTTGAAATTTGGCAATGATGTATTTGATTTGCACCTACAAACGACGTTTTTATAAAAAAATATTACGTAAATATATTCTGCTTAAGCTTATGCAAAAAAACATCCGCCAAAACGTGAGTTGGCGATGGCATAATGTGAGAAATTGGCTATGACATAAAACTTAAAATATGAAATTTGTGCTATTATTAATGTTATGTTCTACATTCGAATAAAGCGATGTTTGATATCATGGCGAAAATGTGACTGAAAAGTTACTATTACTTACTTCTTCGGGCAGCAAATTCTCGTTCAAAAATAGTATAAGCAAAATGAGTAGGTACTTATAAGAAACGATAATTGTTCCGACAACAGAATGCTATACAGTTTGCTTTAATAATGTTGGATGAAAATCATCACAGACATCTAAACCATCAATTTATTATAAAAAAATAATTAAATAAGCTGCATTTAAGGTATAAATAATTTGTTAGATTTTAAAAATACACCTCAAATCACAGGCATTTCGCATTTATCCCTAACTTTATATTTTCACTAGTCAATAATAAAAATAAAATTATGTGCAACCAAATGCAATTCCAAGAAGAAAATGATCAACATAATTGGAGGCAGTCCGGAAAAACATGTGTTGAGTATTAAAAGAACAGAAAAAGTTGTCTTTTTTAATTAAAATTTGACGTGCTCCGGGGTTTTCTGCATTTTTACGCAACAACTGAAAAATTTGGAATTACAACTTTTCATTTGCCTTCTGTATACATTTTGTTGCCACTAATTACATAATATTATATTTTTCTACTGCAAGTTATATATTCCTACACAGTGATGCCCCTGTATAATACTACGAGATCAGCACCCATGACACTATACTGACTTAACTGTATTAGAGATAGGAGAATAGTATAAGTAGTAGTGCAAACCGGCGAACTTTGTCTTTATACAACTAACCGTCGTGTACGAACATAGTTTTGTAATGAAGTCCGTAATCTAAGAAATTGAAATAAAGTCCGTAATCTAAGAAAAATTTGCGTGCTGCGCTTAAGCACGTTACGACCGAATGAATAGAAAAGTTTAATAGCAATTTTGAAAAGTTGAAGTAAAATTATTTTTCAAAAAATTCCCACTTTCACTGCTTCTCATGTAAAAGTTCTAATGAGTATTGTACAATAAAAAATGAATGTTTAAAGATCGGTTGTTAACTGGAGACCTGCAGTACCTACCTATGGAATATTTGTTTATGCCTTCAAGTATTAATCAGTTTGTGTATACCATAACCAATCCATTTTTCGTTATCCATACTATGATTTAAACCATAATCATAATTCAGCCATCAAATCGTGCATTTGCTTTTCAGGAAAGATGACCGTTCAGCAACAGGTAGCTCTAAAACTTTGATAGCTGAAAACGAAGTCCCTGCCTCCACGGCACTTCCAACTCTGGCTAATCCTGAATGTGATGACCTGACTCCGACAAGCAGCGTCCCAACATCACCTCGCGGCCAGTGGAAGATTATTCGGAGGTCTTCCACATTAAGCGAGAAGGACGGTTCAACAGAGAAAGATGTTTACAAGAATCAGAGTCGGAGAGTCAGCAACGTTACACTGACAAACGTGAGCGATGACGAAATGTGCTCTAAAAGTGATCCGGTGGAGTATTTTTTACTTTTACTTTGTTTGCATCCATGTTACACTTTACATAGCTTCGTTCACCAACACTTTCATTCACTTGTTTAAATCCACTAGCAATTATACTTGGAATTCATCTCAGTTTTGCAACCACTGAATACCATTACACCAAACAAAATGTAGTGAAAGAACACATTTCCAAATCTTTCCTTTAGTTACGCTTCAATATAATGATATATATTCTGGGACTCAATTAAAGTTAAATCTGCAGTTTTAGGTTTAGACTAGAATTGTAAAAAGAACAACCGCTCGAAGGTAGAAGTACGCTTTCTACGTTCCTTTATTAGAGCTCGGCTATTTATATTTGCCAAAGAGAAGCCACGAAGTTAACGAAAATCAAGTCAAGTAAACTTGTTTAGCTGAAATTCATTATAAATTAATACCATTTCCATTAAAAATCTTTACAATTTTCAGATCACATCGGGCACAAACAACGAAATCATATAAAAAAATTTATTGGAAAATGACGGTATCTTCCAGAAAACAATTTACTAATAATTCTGAGATATTTTTGTTCCTTCTCTTTGCTTTTATTGCACTTTGCTAAAAAGTATTCTCACATTTGTAGAGGCTAGGACATTGTCACTAGTTTCAAAACGGGATTGTGGCGCATTAACGCAAAATTTCAAAAAATGATAATTGTATTTGACTGCTTGATCGCTAACTTGGATAAATAGTGACAATTTAAAAAAAATGCAATGGCTACTAACTGATATATATGGAACAGAAAATTATTTTAAAAGATCTTGCAAACCATTTCTATAAAAGTGATTCAAACCCCATTTATGTCCCAGCTAAACTGTCTGCATTAACCTTCTACGGCTGCGACTTTTCTACTTTTCGATTACGTTACATAACGTTACATTTCTATAAAGTAGATATAGATTTAGAAAATAGGAAAGATTGCAACATAAATCTTACTATTATTAAATACTAGAATATTAAATAACAGAATATCAGTAGAGGCACGTCTTATAGTTGAAATATAATTTTGGCAGAAACCCAATTTTATCTGCAGCCCAACAGGACTCCACAAAATCGATTAAAAAGCTTTTGAATTAAAATTGAATAACTTCTGACAATGAATCGGGCAAAAGAATTGAATTTTGTAAATTCCTAAAAAATTCCTTGTTTTAGTAAAAAGCTTTTTTTTAATTTAATTCATAGCGCTCATAAATCAAACTGAGGCTATTGGAATGAAGTCTATGCGTATTTTTTTAGAGGAGGACATCCCCGGCCCTGAAGAGCTTATTGACTGGGCTTAATAGCGGAAAACTTAAATAGTACAGTTTATGCCGAAAAGCTTAGAACTATGATAGAGCTTTCAGTTATTCACGAAGCAAAAAAACAGATAGGTACACTATCAACGAAATTTGTTTTGAAGGTAGGATCTGCTATCGATTTACAAAAAGACAGCATTGGTTCGTGGCCATCATGATGACCAGGCCATTTTTCCTTCTGGGAACCCCCAAAAACTCTTGTTCAGTCTGATTCAGTTGAACAACTATGGGAAAGACTTACTAGAATCCCGTTTCAAATGTAGGAAAGCTATCGCCATTGTTTGCTACGAATTATTTTAAAACATAATTGTAGTCTTAAAAATAATGGACACCAGTTTAAGCGCTTCACTAATTAAAATAAACTTTGTCAAATGTAACGTGATGTAACGCAATGGTAAAGAATGTTTCAAGTAGTTTCGGTCTGTAAAAAGACGAAAGTGGTTGGTTGCCATCTAGCATTTTAAAGTTTGGGTGACTGGAAGTTAGAGGGTTGGTCCATAAATCTGTTTTCTCCTACTAATAATAAATAAGGTTCCTACATTGTTTCTTATTTGTCCCTCAGATGGAGACATTGCAAGTTTTCATATTGTCACACTGCTTACAGGGTGGCTCATTTTAAAAGAACCAGTCCAATGTCTCGAAAAATATAGAAAACAGTAGACGTTTAAAATAATAATAAGTTGTTATGCTTCAATCGGAAAACCTAATGGTGATTTTATTCTAAATTTTTTAGTAGATGGCGATGCTATCATGTAGGATTCCTCGATTGTTTAGCAGATTGGCACATTTTTTTTATTCAGTTTTTAATTTGAAATAAGAAAGTATCAAGAAAATTTGGGACCAACTTACCTCATATTGATTTGAAAATATAACCAGAATTCCGCACGTTTCTTTTTGTTTTTTGTTATTCACGTAACATTAATTTAAAAAAATAATTAGGCATTCCGCAAACTGGCCAACACGCAATGCACTTTGCGGAATCACGACTGCTTTGGGATATCTGCAAATTAACTGTAGTTTTTATTTAGGCTAATATGCGCGTGAGAAATGTTTATTTCTCATATTGACTAAACAGTGTGAATACCTGATGCTATGGATACTTTGCTGTTTAATTTAATGCAATTTTGGCAATTGCGAGCAAACAAAGACACAATTTTCATTAAATGGATTTTTTATGAAATTCAAAGAGGTATAAATAATGTGTTTTTATCCCGCGACAAAATATAGAGCATAATTATAATTCCCAAAATAGTGCAGTGGCATACAAATAATATGAATTGAAAAATCAATGGCAACTAATTTAGGTGCTTCGTCGAACTATTTTAGTGGCTATTAAGATTTTTCATAAACGTTGAAACAATCTATTGCAACTAGATTAATTAAGAATCACATATAATATATTTACAACTTTAAAATAAATAGGAAACCTAAATCATTAGCTTAGTACCATAGTAATGGATCATAATCAACATTGTTAGGAATTCATTTTTGTTAATAATTTTTGAAATAAGAAAAACGATTTATCCTCCACGCCAAGAAAAATCCCTTTCAAAGTTATAAATTATCGGACTACGAAAAACTCTTAATTCATAAATTTGAAGATTAGCCAAAGTAGTACAAAGTAGTAGTGGTTCAGCAATGCGCCTGGCGGGTTGGTCAGTCTACAGGATGCCTAGGCATTTCGCATTTGCTGAATTTCGTATTTTTCCAATATAATTCTTGTCCATTTTGAAAATCAAGCAAATCTACACCAGCACATCAACACGTACATTCACTAAATCTATACTGCTTTTGAAATATTATATGTTATCTGTGTGATTTTATTGATTATTTAATGTCCATTTTGAACACAAGCACTGTTGTGAATGAAATTTCACCTGAGCACTTTCACAGCGCATTTCTAATATATAACTTAAACATTGAAGGTCACAGATCTTTAGCAAAATTTGTTTATTTCGAATTCATTTTCGAAAAAGTGTGTAAGTAATCACTAAAGAACCGAACTTCGCATTTCCGCCTAAGTTTTGTCGACAAAATCGCCTAATTCATCAAAATCTTTTCGCTCAATTTGTAATTCATTTGTTTCGCGAGATACATTTAATGCCGCAAAGTGTCGACTGAACAACATCATAATTACACAAATAGTTTCATTAGTGGATAATTACTAAGTCACTTTTATTTAAACTGCAAAAAATTTACCAAACCGAAAAACAAAATTAAAAATCGTGCGATATAATCAATTCGTTCACTTTGTAGTATTATTTTGAAAAAGTAGGGAGCAATTTTTTTAAATATCAATTTTTAGGCAAAAAATTGTGTTGTTAGGTTATATACTGGCTGATAAAACATAAAATTTCAACGAAGCTATAACTTTAAACAAGTCATGAGCTTTTGTAAACAAATTTATTCAAATTATCGACTCAAAAACCGGGTTTCAGTTTTTCAAACCATTATATCATTTCCTTTGCTTCCGACTATTAAAAACAATGCAAAGCATTTCATTAAAATTTTACTGGGCATATTTCCAAAAGTAAAAAAATTAAGTATTTTCCTCAAGAACTTTTAGCTATAAACAATTTGAACAATATGCAAATCGAATCAGGTTTTTTAAGGTAGATCCATCAGGCACCATGTCATGAAATAACTAGTGGGTGTAGATGCTAATCTTGAACAAGCACTTTCTGCCGCGCCTCTTTTTTTTTTATTTTACTTCACTTTTCCAAAGTTATCCAGAAAAGTCTGAATTTATTTAATTTAGTATTCCTGTCTTAAATTTTTACAGTTTTCAACGTGCACTTCCTCTTAAGCATGTGTCTCGCGATATTCACACATGAATAGCTCGTACTAGATATTGTTTTGCACTAGATACTCGTAAAATCTTGTCTTGTGCTTTAAAAAATATATATATAGAATATATAGATTACATAATTTTGATTGTAGTGAACTCGTCACTGGCTTTATAATTAATATGTTCTGAAGTATATTGAACCATGAAGTAGAAAGATAATAAGATTTTGGTGAATCCGTAAAATCAATTGAAATGTTTTTATTATGAAATAATATAAACGCTATTGCACGGATTTTGCGCAGTGATTATTCGGAACTGTTGCAACAAATATAGTATACAATTTAAAGAACAATTTGACTGAAATGTAATAATTGAAATTATTTCCTCATATATCTATTATGGAAGGAAAACAATCAGAATTTGTATTATAGAAACTGCCGTAATCTAATTAAAAGTAGACCTGTTAAAATAACATTATTTAAAATGACCTGAGTTTTCATTTAGTCTTCTGAAATCGTAATTCGCCCTGGGATTAAGCTGGATCTTTTCAATTTTCCATATCTTAGTGGGCACTTCTTAATCACATAATTTCTTCACAAATTTGTTCAGGCAAAGTAGTGCTACACAAGCACAGCATTTCAAGTCTAGTCAATGCAGAAACTGTTCAAAATATAATTTTAAATTGATATTTTTAGGGATGCTATTCTTCAGTAGCCAGCATGGTAAGCGTGGCTACCATCCGAAGTACAAATGCCAAAGCCACTAAGGACAAAAGAAACCGAGAAAAATTGCTGGCTGGACCTGGTGGCTCTGAATTCTCAATCTCTGCGCCAGACAATGATTTGGAGATAGATTACTATGATTATAATGTAGTGAATGCAGGAGCGGCACCTGGTTCTTACTTAGGAATGGACCCAGCGTTTCTAGTTTGGATTCCGCCCCTGGACGAAAGTGGGGAAATTCTTCCTCACATTGAAGTGGAATGTCATGAGATGGTGGACATTCGTCCAAAAGTATATGTTAATCCAGGAAGCAATACTGAGTCACCGGAAGAAGAATCATTAGTTCCGAAACCCCGTAGACGATCCGTTAGTGAGAGTATAGCCACATCTTCACTTATGTCAAAAAAGAAGGTTAAAAAAGTGATTCCTTTGGTTCATGGTAAGTAGGATATGCTTAAACACTAGGTATTTCAATTTGTCAAACACTGGCACTGCAAGTAACAACGATACAAACACTAATGCACTATAGGTAGCTATTATCTCGAATATCGCATAGTCCATATTTTGCATCAAATTTCTCATTTGGCAGCCCCAAATGTCACGCAAGTTGTTGGTAATAGCTCACGGCTTAACTTACTGATGGTTGGAGAAGTGTTGAGTTCAAAGGTGAATGATACAGTTCCTCATTGGTTGTTATTTGAAGACGATTTATATTTTCTTAAGCACAAGATGCAGCAGATGCAGTATGATACAATACAAAGCAATAATGTTTTTTATTTCTTTCTGGACTGGGCGTAACTTAGTTTCGAACAAGCCTAGCATATGCAGATTTGGTTTTAGAAAAAGTTGCATTTGTAGTGAAAACTTAACCAATCTGAGTTTAAAAAAAAAACGGTCTGCTAAATTTTAAATAGATTTAGACAATACTCTGAACCTCACTGCACATGCCCATATTTAATAGATAATTCCGGCTAAATTGCCATTTCGAAAATATGGCAGTCCGATATCAAACCGAACAAAATTCCGATCAATAGCAACCTACTTTCTTCATTGGTCTTCAATCTTGATTCCCACTTTTTCACTTTCGAGAACTATTTTGTAGTAGCCAACAATATTGCAAGGTTTTTATTTAATTTCTTACTGAATCTATATTTACAGGTAATGTGACCCAAGTGGACAACAAATATTTAAATGAAGCCCGGCATATTATTGATAACAGAAAAGTAGCAATTCAGATGCAAGAGTTCCCCAGAAAATTGAGACCCATCGTTCCACTCGACATGGAAAAGGAAACTAAAGTGGAAAAATCTCCGAGTGTAAATAATAGTATTTTGGATGATATTCAATTTGCTGACGACGACGAGGAAGAATTGGATTTAAGTGAGCTGCCTCATGTCATTGAAAGCAAAACCTAATATATTCGAAATCATCACCCATATCTGCGTATTATCACAAAGTTAAGCAGCATATCTAAATTTTAAAAAGTACATTTCATATTCGTTCAAGAGGTCAAAAGTAGTTCTACTTAAAAAAAACTAACACGGTGTAATGCAAACGTGAGTTACCTAAACACACAGGATCATTGTGCGACGTGACCTCCATAGTATTCCTCGAACAAAACGGAAATTAAAAAAAAAAGATGTATTAGAGGTGTGCCTATGTGCTATATTTTCAAACTGCAACTCATTATCAGGGAGGTTTATAGAGATTAGGATCAAACAAAATATATTTTACTGAATCTGATTTGCTTTAGCTCAAATTTAAAAATATTACTAAATTTACTTTTGTGAAACTCTTAGCATGTGAAGTATATATTTTCAGATACTTACTGTGTGCACGGTGCACGTACACTTAGTGTATGTATGAACATATTCGAGATATTAACATCTCGTAAACCGTAAGATAAAGAATAATAAATTACGCCAAAGCTCCACATTTCTGCTGAACACAAAGCTGTTTTACAAGTTCGGAAATTGCAAAAACTCACACATTTCTGCAAACGAGTCTCATATTTGTCTAAGCTGATTTGACGAGCTATAATTATGCTCTGCGGGCGCATCATGACCTATATTTTTTTAAGACACGGACATGAACGTGTGACATGGGTTTGTGAATTAAAAAAAAACTCCTGTAATGTTATGGTACACGTTCTCTCGGACATTTCTAGTTGTTTACAATATTATATTTATTATCTCATTATAAAAAACAGTAAATGGTGCACTGGTTTGAAGGCATTTATATTTACGAACAAATATTTTCAACAAAATTCGTAATTTAATTTTAACCACGAGATTGCAAAGAAGCCGTTGAAATTAAGCAGAAAATGTTTCCTATTTTTATACAACAATGTACAATTTATACTCCAATGTAAAATTAGCAGATTCTTATTTTGAAGCACAAAATTAGACAAACGACGGAATCACTTGAGCAACTTTCGGTTCTCTTGGAATAATTTCGGAGATAATCGAAATTTTGTAACTTCTGAAACATCATTGTGTTCAGTGTTAACAACATCAATTTTGCCTTAATTTCACCGAGTTCGTATATCTTCAAAACATTGGACCAGAATACAAATTGACACTTTAAATGGCTTCGGAACCGTTTTGTGATTAATATAATATCATGTTCATTGTTGCATTTTCTAGAGATACTCAATGATTTCCACCAAAAATAAATAGCACTTGACAAAATTAATTTGCATATAACAGATCCATCATATTTTGGATTAAAATTTAGAAACAGTTGAAAAACTGAAAACAGTCGAACTACTGAACACGTTTCACTAACGACAAACATACATATAAGTTGGAGTTATTACATGTATATTTGAAAAATGTGAGAAAAATCATTTTCAATTTTTTTTGATTAAAAACATATATTAATTTTCAAATGAAATTATGCACTGATGACTAAAATCGAAGAACTAATACTGCGATGAAAATTTCAATTTAGGTTCAAAGTTCAAAGTCGAAAATCAAACTTTAATCACTACCGTGGTATAAAATGATCATCCTTGTTAATCCTTAAGTTCTTTATTCTCTAACATCTAACAGTTACTCTCTGTTCAATTGTATGTTATCTTGGGGATCTTGGGGAGTATAGTAGGTTTATCCTATACCTATGGCAAATACAGTTGTTAAAATACAACCATATTTAAACCATTAAAGATTTGAAATGTCGCACGTTTTGCACAAAAAAATACTTTGTTGACTTCATGTACGAGACTTCATGTAAAGTTCGTATTTTTATAATTCCTTTAAAAATATTAAATTGCCAAAAGGGGCGTTAAAACTTTTAGGGATGCTAAGTTTCAATTTATATCTACTTTCTAACATCATTTTATTAATTAGTTAGTCTGCAGAGTGCAATACAAACTGACTTAAGGGTACTGAAATTGACTACGAATATGAAAAAAGAAAACATAATAACCCGCTTAAGACTATATTGATGTTGAATTCTAGTTTTATTACTTAGGACCCTAAGATCAAAAGTGTGTTCTCAGGAGAACGAGGTTACTAAATGAGACTGAATGTTTAATAGTTAATATTATGTCGTAACATTTCTTTTGCGCTTGATCTAGGAAATTGTTTTAAATCTATTTGAATATTATTATAGCATACATTTTATACGTCCAAAAAGCAGTTAATTTAAAAATTGTTAAAATTGGGGGTTTTAATACTTTTTTACATTAAACAGGATTTATTGTTGCGTGTTATATTTAATTTCATACAGTGGCAAATCCAGGATTTGGTTATAAAAAGGGGGGCTGGAGTTATAAAAAAGTTACATCGTTGCATCGACGAACAGTGGGGTATTTGATATTAATTTCTGATCGAAATTGTTTTTGAATCAGAGATTTCTTTAAAACGTTTTACATTAAAACCGGATCATATGATAAGTAAACATTTAATATTTTGAAGGATGAACAGTTATCTGTATTATACGGGGTTAGCAAAGAATTTCGCAACAGCCAAATATTTCAGCGACGATTGCAAATTTTTGTAATTTTGTACATCAGAATTTTTAAGTTTACTTGATCCAATGATTATGTGCCTAAATGCCAAATTTTCATATTTGAACGAATTTGTTTTTATTTGATGTTTAAATGGTCTGCATTTTAAAAACTAAATAAAAATATGTTATTTTCATATTTCAATAATTATGACCCTAAAAAGTCGACCAAGTGAAATCAAATGTTTGCTTAATTAGATTTTTTAAAATTTTTCAAACATGTAAATAAATTATCTCTACTTATTTTCAACAGATCTTGATGCGTTTTTATAAAAGACCCGACACATGGAGAAATGAAGAAAGAAAGGAAGAATAAATATGACCTATTTCTAAAATATTTAGGCACTGACCCAGTTTATTTTATTTTCGCCAACAAGAAGGCAAAAATAACAGCCAATTCTTTCACTTTAAAAAAGGAGAATGTTTACTTCTAAAAAGTTATGTTAATGGCGTCCCTTACAAGCTGGAGCTAAATTATTATAAATGTCAAATTTCGAATTCAAAACCCTTAAATACCAAATGTCAACAATACGTTGGCATTATTTAGAAAATTGTATGGAAAAAAACTAAAATGTTAACACCCTGTATCTGGAAAAGTGTGCACTTTCGGACTTATGTTTAAGGGAACTTTTTCTCAAAACGACCAAAGAAATCACGTCCTTAACAATTGCCGCGTCTTTTTTCAGCATCCTGATGTGTAGTTGACGGATTGCAGTTTTACAGTGATAACATTGGAGTAGTTTGTCTGTTTTGGCCAAAGTAGCAGCCAGTGTTTTAGTCATCAAAAAACTGGATGTTTACTGAGTAATAAGTATATAATATAAACTTAGCTGAATTCAGAAAAATAATTAATTAAACCTCTCTGTTTTTGCCCAGTCATATTTGCTCTTTTTATATTATTTTTGAAACCTCTTATATAAAATTTAAAAAAACTTATAATAATCGCTTTTTGAAACGTAATATACCTAATATGTCAAAATGCACACTTGCAAGTTGGTCGGGGCTCAGTTTGCATGTAAAAAGGACACAGTATCGAATCGAAATGATGGATTTACACATAAAAATTCAGAATTAAATTAAAATTAGTTTAAGTCGTATTTAGACGTAAAATGACTGTCTGTGTCTGGGTGTGGCTGCAGCCCCCTAGCCCCCTCCCCGCCGGATTCGCCACTGCTATCATCACAATTTAATTTTGTTTTACGGTTTTAAGAAAATGTTTTACAACTTTAAAATAGACGGGGTACATAGATCTGCTATCAATTTTACTATGTAACAGCTTGAGAAACTAATAGTCAAATGGCATACCAAATCAAAAAAAAAATCAATAAACAATGATGTCCACTGAAAAAATAGGTTTCCGCTTTTGTATAATTATTAATTGATTTAAGCTGGTTGTTCAAATTACAAATACAATATTATGCATAATATGTATGGTTTTCTTCGTACTAGCTGTAGATATTTAACTTAGATTAATAAAAGTTACTAAAATAAGTACCGATATGTTACATTTTGTGATAATTTTTCTAGTCATCTACAAATAAGCCGGTATTTTGATGATGAGCGTTACTAGGATTGGCAATTTTTTTGACTAAGTGTAAAAATATATTAAGACGTAGTTTTAAGCAGCAGAAATTTGATATAAATCAAAATAATGTATAAGATCTTTGCATCTTGAAGGATAAGTTTCTCTACAAAATCGAACTTAACCTCTGCATGAAAGAATTCTAATATAAATATGAACAATATATAAAGATCTTTCTTCATTTAATTTTCAACATTGTACACAACTTCTTCTAAACTGATTGAATATTTGATTATTTTCAGTAATGGCTTGATGTAAATGGGTTCTGGAATACATTTTTGAAATAAAATTAGTAACTCGCAAGAGACTTTACATTTTCCCCCTTGTCCCAGTTTCCATTAGCAATTCAAAACATTTGTAATACACATATACGTATCACAAAAAGTATGAACATTAGCTGGGCACTAAGTTGAGGGGTTAAGTTGAATATTAAACAAGAGATTTTTGAGATTGGGTTTTGACAAAATGAGTTAAAGTTGTTCTTATTTTTTCTCGTGTTATAGGTGTGATGTTTTGATTAATGGACTCGCCTTAATATATTTGTTAGTTTTCTTGAATCCATTTTACTCGCTCCTCAGGATTACTATTTTAGCAACTCTCGCATGTTAATAAGACTTTGTAGTGGAGTGGTTACAGTGACAGGATGGCGAACGCATCCGCTTGCCATGCTTGAGGTCCTGGGAAACGGAACAATTTTTCACCCAACTATACCTAGTGGAAATCAATGGCATAGAT